CCCCTACTCAACCTTATCATCTCTTACTTACTATTTATTCCTTACTTAGCTTCTCCTCACTTATACTACTTACTTATAGCCTATTACCCACTACTCCTACTAGTCTCTTATCATCTCTTACTCTCCCTCTTATTGCTTAGCTCTCCCATTCCTTCTTCCCTATTCACTTTCTAGCCATCTAACTATAACTATGGTTCTATTCGTCTGTCTTCACATATTACGTATTATTACTTACCTCACTTACTTCGTTTTTCTTATTACCCCTCCTCATCTCTCCCCATACTTCCTTCATCTTCTTACTGATATCACCCTACTTTCTTCTATAATAGTAATCCTCATTAACTAAAATATACTTCTTAAAATTCCAATGTCCCCATTTCGTATACAATATGGCCTTCTTGGATATATCAAGATGTTGTCCATATTACTTAACCGGTCTCGTCAATCGACCGTATCAATGTGTATTTCTAAAAACTTGAAAAATTTTTCGTGCTGGTCGATAGGAAAAAGAGCACTGTCGCAAGAGGTGCTGAACAGAACATATCCATTCAATATACAAGATGGCGGTGCCGAGAATCCTGTCGTAACTACTCTACTTCTCCTTACTACGTACAATTCTCCTAATATTCCCTTCTTTCTCCATATCAACATCTCTTGTACACTAGCCACCACCTCACTCACCTATCCATATCCTAATACCTAGTCTGCCTTCCAATATATTATACTTTCTCTTTCCCACTTATATATCTTATTATATCAATTCCTTTCCATCTCCTATCATCCCTCCTATATTCCTGTAACATCTACTTCACTTCCTACTCAACATCCTCTATCTTCTTTCTACCCTCCATTAGTCTCTATTCTATTTTTACTTACTCCATTTATTACGTACTTATCATATTCCTTTCTTACCTTATTATCTCTCTTATCACTTCCTTACCCTTAGTTTGTTAGTTGTTTGCCCTGTTATTACTTACTTAGTTACTTATTAGTCAGCTATTAGCTGTCTTATTACTTATTACTACTCCTCCTTTCTTACCTTACTATTCCTTTATTCTCAATTACTTACCCTTATTATTCTCTCCTTATACTTACCTATCACCTCCCCTACTACTTATTATTACTTACTTATATTCCTTTCTTATCTCACTTAT